GCAGCAGCAGCAGCAGCAGTAGCACGAGCTCCACGCGCTCCTGTACCTGATCGATGTGTAGCTTGTGATCGATCCGCGGATGGATTGTTGACACCACGCCGCTGTGACTCGGATATCCCTCCGCCGGATTGTCGCGTTTTTCTCCCCCCGTTTGTAGCGTCTGAGCGGTCCTCGGTGTCCGGGAGGGCTCCACCGTACCGGGGGGGCAGCCATGGGTTTCTACGGCACCTTGAAGCTCATCTTCTATAAAGTGAGTATTGATTATAGGCAGGGGTGATCGATCAGCCCGACGTCAGCAGCTGCTCTTCAGTCTCCTGTGTGTATATGTTTGGATGTAGGTATATATATGTGCTTTAACGGAGGGCTGTCGGGCAGGTATTCAAGGTTGTCAGGCTCGTGCAACACCGGGATGACGAGGCGTTTCTGCCTGACAGCGGAATGCCTCGGTAGCGCGTGTGTGTGTGTGTGTGTGGACCACTGCGGATCTGAGAGAGGAAGGAAGAGCGAGAGAGAGAGACTCATTTTATGTCCTCTCTCCCCCCATATATCTCTCTTTCTGTGTGATTTGATTATTGATTATTGATCACCAGCTGTCTCTGTGCAGGTGTCTGCACTTTGAGCCTCCAGAGCCGATGAGCAAGGCACCGGAGGAGGGTTTGAATTCCTCGTTAAAGCGGCTGTAAATGGCTTTAATTGGGTCCAGTGTGGTTTAATGCAGGTGAATTATAAACATCAGCCGGCTGTAACTGAGAGAAGTTGAGTATTTGATGCTTTTTAAAACCTTTTTCTTCACTAAAATAACGATTATACGCAGTTCAGCTGCTGTAAAATCACATTTCTGGGTGTGTAAAAGAGCAGAAGTCAGTTAAAAAGACTTAAAATCAGACACAACTTCATCTTTCCAGCTACAAAGTACAAGATTAAATCCTTTAAAAACTGACATTCAGCACAGTGAAAGTAAAAGTGAAATATTACACAGATAAATGGACATTTGTGGGTGTATAAAACAGCAACAATCTCTAAGAAAGACTTAAATTCAGACCATACTTTAGCTTGAGGGCTTGTTCATCTTTACAGATGCAAATTTCAAGATTAAAACCTTAAAAATTTACATGTTTTGCCTCCAGTGGAACCCTGTAAAAGAGGGACAGTTGTGGTGAATAAAACATCAAAAATCTATCAAAATAAGTTGAAATCCACCAAAAGCTTAAGATCCAATGCAAGTTAATCTTTCCAGCTACAAAGTACAACAATAAGACTCTAAATACTGACGTTTTTGTCTGAGAACACAAATAAAAGAGGGATATTACACTGAGTAGCTGCTGTAAACTGCATTTTTGGGGTCAAATATAGTCTATAAGCAACTTAAATCTACAAAAAAGACTGGAAATCCGAGTAAATCTTTAATATCTAATACTTCTTTATCTTTACTAGACGAGCTGCAGGAATCAAACCGTAGAAATTGACATGTTTTGCTTCTCTCCACTGTGAAAATACAGATTAAAGACGGATATAACGCATTAAATCCCTGTCAAATGACACACAGCTCACTGTAAGGTCGCAGTACACACTACTGATTATCATACATCATAAGTCACTGTTAATGTAACTGTAGCTCCATAAACTACCTCTTACACACAACACACACACTGTAAGTGATGCTAACAGCATATAAAAGTATCTTAAAGCGTATTACAGGAACATTAAAGAGGGTTTTATATTAAAATAGTGTTTTATTTCTGTATGAAAGCAGCTGAATTGCTCTGGATTTAACAGTAAACACATTTTTGTCCTTCACCCTCAAGTGAAGTCTTTCTGGCTTAATGAAATCCACACAGACGCGACATCTGTTATTAAAAAGCCAGCTGAAAATGAAAAGCAGATTACGAGTTTTGGGTCGCAGTTTAGAGCCCGAAAGATCGCGGCCGTATGTTGCTGTTGTTGTTGTTTAATATAAAAAAAGTCTTCTTTAATTTTGATCTCATTCAGTCTCTCGGATAACGCCGTGTTCACATAAAGATGCCAAGAGGAAGAAGGACACGCACATACTGTCCTGTACCATCCTCCGGTGTGTGTGTGTGTGTGTGTAGTGTGTAGTGTGTGTGGCAGCAGCCTGTTAGCGCGTGCTGCTGCTGCTGCTCTATTTTGGACCAGTGCTGCACCGGCGACATTCCTGCGATTTTCTGCATTCCTGCGTTCATTCACTGAGAGAGAGAGAGAGAGAGAGAGAGAGGAAAGAGAGGAAAGAGATAGAAGGCTGATTCAGATCCTCTGGGCTCGGGTGCGTTCGTGTTACTTAACAGCGTAGGTGTTTTCAGTGTCTCTGTAGTCACACACACACACACACACATACGGGGCTGCTGCATTAACAGCTGTTCTCTTTTTGAGCCGAAACCCACAAACTTGTTCCTTGTGTTTCCTTCCACAGGCCACATTAACAAGTCTGAGTCCATCTGCTCTGGTTTCTACGTGTTGGACGCAGAAACTGTTGATTAAAATGTTAATCGTGTGTTGGTTTTAGCTGCGAGGACGCGGCCGTAAACTTTATTTCTGGGGTCAATTAAGGCGCAGTGAGCGTTTGTAGTTCTGGTCGGCACTCGTCTGCGGCGGAGGTCGTCTGTGGGAGACGATCCTTTGGTGCGTTCCCTCTTGATTACGTCGTTTACTGTGATTTCTCTACAGACTACCGCCACCTGCTGGTGTCGAGAGTTATTGTGTCTCCTACAGACACAGAGCGAACGTGCTAGCTGGTCGTTCGCTGTAGTCTGTGCGGAGTGTTCTGGTGTCACTTTTGGGCCAAGACACAGGCGGCGGCGTGAGTTCTTTGATGTTGGTTTGGTGTGTCAGGGTCTTTAGAGTTGTTCCCATACTGATACCAGTACCAGAAGTTCCTCGGGTATCGGTGAGTACGTGTGCACTGATCCGGTACCCTGCTACTGCCCAGCAGTGTCCCATAGCCATCATACAGGCTTAGTAGTA